CCTAAAACTAAAGTGTTAAAATGTCGTAATCGAGGAGTCGTGCCGACCTAAATAATTCGTACGAATCACGAAGCTCGAGAGTCGCAGCTGTTTAGAGATAATTCGGTGGATATTCCGTGGCATACGCGGTAAGTTACGCGGCGATCGCGTTGGGAATGGAGTTACGAAGCTACGGGAACGTGTCTCGCGTGTCGAGAAGGGTTTTGCAAACTTCGCGGAAAGGAGAGAGATATTGGGCCCGGAGCGATGATCCCGGGGAGTCGTCGATTTCCCAGCTTAGCCACACATTTCCTCGCCGCAGCTGTTTACCTCCTGCTTACTCGTTCGCTGCTTCGCCGCTTTATATCGCTCTGCTAGAATTTGCATAAGACTACCGACACGGAAAGGACATTACGCCCGAGCCGACAGCATGGAACACCGAGTCTTTCTTGGATCTGATTAGCACGCACGGGAATCGCAGCGTTTTATCATTCGAATCGGTATACGAATGCGGAATGCGTGCCACGCGTAATATAACCAAGAATACGTACGAATATATACGAAGAATTCCTAGATTGAGTTACAGCAAGAGTTACAGAAGCAAAGCTACCGACGTTGAACGATACGTTGGATTCGTCGAGCGAAACAAGTTGGGCAGAGGGTGAGTCGTGTTGGGTGCAGACCAAACGAAGGATATTCGTAGACGCGGTCCTCGTGAATCTTCGCGTAACTTTATGAAAACGACGCCGACGAAGGAAAAACGGTGGGAAGTTTGCCAATATCCAGAGATTTTTCGAGAGAACGCATACACGGGAGTCCGCGAGGGTAGGATCACGCGTGGCTATTCACACCGACGAGAGCTTGCTTCCTAAATATTTGGCGAACTTAAACAATGGGCAACCCGCATGGATAGCGATCGATCTATCGGCTAGCTATGGACAACGTTCTCGTTTAGATAGATTCGTTTCTAATAACGAATACATCAAAGGTGAACGTAGCTCGATCCGTTATCCGTGAAATAGATATCACAATTCGATATACATAATCGCGTTACGCTGTATCGCAGACAGTGATGGGCAAAATCGTAATCGCAAATACGAATACGATCGTAATCGCATCTTTCCGAGTTGTGATTACGAATACGATTACGTATTTCTAAAGGTTCACAGCCATTGAAATTCTTTACCTCGAAACCGACTTCAGATTCGCGTTCCTCGCTCCAAAAAACTTACACCATACATTCGTCGAAATAAAAAATGCAAAATTTTTAATTAAAATTCGTGCCCATAGAACAGAGCCTGGATAGGGTAACATTTTAACAAAATTTTATTTTGACGGAAGCATGGTTTTCTAAGTTTCTTTAATGCGAGGAACAGGAATCTGATGTCGGTTTTGAGGTAAACAATTTCTATGGCTGAATACTCGTAATCACAACTCGAAAACATTCGATTACAATCGTACTCGTATTCGCGATTACGATTTTGCCCATCACTGATCGCAGAGTATACGTTCTTTACTCGCGTAAAGTTTCTATTTTTACTTTTAGTATTTTCCTGTAACGCACTGCGTTAATGGATAAAGATATTTGAAGAAAAGCGAGCGCGCCGGGTACTTTTCTTATTTCGGTTATTTTATTCGATTCGATCCGGTAAAATATAGGTCCGTAGATGTTGCAGAGTCGCCGTTGGGTAAAGTAACGCAAACGTTGGCTTGGAAGCAGTAATCTTCCGAGCGAAAAAGCTTGGCTCGTCGGAGCAGAAGCGAAGCGCGAGTAGCTGGAGGAATTACGCGCGAAAGAAATTCCCCTCGATCCGTTCCAGTGTCTCTTCGTCCCCGAACTTTCGGTACGACCTTAATCTCGGCGACGCAGACAGAGGCACGGTTAATGGCGCATAATTTTCCGGTGTCCATACGTACGCAGCTACGTCGACGTAATCCACGAAAAATGCGCGGACGATCGATGGAGCCGATATTCCGAGAGACCAGCGAGATTTCTCGAAATGGGCACTTCGCGTTGCCACCATAAATCAAGAAAAGTTTCAGCTCCGGAGGAAAGTTCTCGATGCTGCTGGCCCAAATGTCCCGAATGAATACTAACATAGAAGCGGCTCGAGTATTTCCGCGCCGAGGAAACTTTTCCGCGAAGAAACCAACCCCCGGTTTTCGGTGGCTGCTCGTTTACGCGTGAAACGGAGCCGCGATCGATCGCAAGGTACGCTATAGGAGACGCGAGCTTCGCGAATTAAACCGCGTCTAAAAAAGGGCAAAATATTGTTGACGTAATAGATTTTCGATAGCAACGTTGACAGCTTCGATACGGAAAATTGTTCGCTGCTCCTTCACCGACGTAGACGTTTCCTTAGCTTCCTGTCCGTAGCGAACGATGTCGAAGGATCGCCGAGAGAATGCCTCGGCGTGACGCCGATATTAAAATCCATTCCGCTGGCTGGATTCATAACGCAACCGTACCACAAAAGCCGAGTAAAGTGAATAGCTTGCCCGACGCAGAGACGGTGGAATATATGACGCGTTTCAGAGGAACGTAACGCCAGGTGGAAACGAGAAGGTCAGGGGCTGGTCGCGTTTATGCAAATTTCAGCTAGAAATAAACTCGTTTCCTCTGAGGAATTCCCACGCGTGCACCCACGCGCTATCGTTGCGTACGATCGCTCATTAACGATGAAAAATTACGTGAAAAAGTAGAGTAACCACGGAAAAGCGTTTCGCGTGCGGCGTCGGCGGTTCCTCGATACCCGTAAACGAGCTATCGACTCGAATACTCGAACTCTTCCGAAGTTCCTGGACATTTTTATTACGAGCACAGAGTAAATTGCTACTCGAGTACTTTCGTTCCAACGATAGCCTTCTTAACGGAGAGGCATTTTCAGGCGACCATTTATAGACGAGAACGGAAAAAGGACGGGGAAAACCCGAAGGATTTATGGTATCTGGTTTTTAGAGAAAATACCGCGACTCTTAGCCCGGTTAAAAATTGAGCGGAAGGAAGCGAGCTAGACAAATTTGATTGCTCGAGAAAGAAGCGAAACGCTGACAATGGTAAAAGGAACGGCGTGTTAATTTGGAAGTAGAAGTTCGGACGTCTGTGAAAAAAATACGATACTGGCATAGCGTCTGTCGTTCGGTGACGTGGCAGAAATTCCACGGAGATGTATTTCTGGGACGGAAGTGTGCAAGATTAATTGCTGTTCCCGAAGGCGTCTATACCGTCGTTTAATTAACCCTCCCACGGTGAGTGCGTTTCATCGTTCTACTCGACGAACAGGATTCTTTCGAACCGAAGTTGAAAGCGTGGTTGCATACGGAGGACACGTATCGCCGATTAAACGAATTAATTAAATATTGGACGAGCAAGGATGCGAATGAAAATAATGAAAATATATTTAACGCGGAAACGACGTACGCGAATACTCGACTCGCCCGAAAGAACAGACGCCGCGCGGCGATGCGCGAAACTGTAACGAACGTCGACGAGGAACGCGCGAATATGTGCTTTAATTTTCAATTAACAACCTGGATAAATTGCTTCAACCGAATGACACAAAGCGGGCGCTTTAATTTGACATTGAATTATTATTTGAAATTACTTTCGTCGGCGGTTAATTTTCAAATTGCGAACGGGAGCGTTGCCTGAAAGACTGGCGCGTTGATTTACCAAACGACAGGTTTCGGTCATTTATTTGCGTTCGCCATAAATCGCGGTTGCTATTTGCCGCGGCATGTTTCCGACGTTCTCCTCTGCAGTTGGCACGTTTCGTTAAATTACAGTTGCGCGACCCTTGTTTCGTTTAATTCGATTTAGAAGAAAATTTCGAAACGGTTTCCTGCGTTGATTGACCGAAAAACATTTTCCCGTTACAGTGCCAGCCATTTTACGATTCCCGAAGCGAACAGCGGCCACAAAAGGGGTGGAAGAGGTCAGGAGGAGAATGGAGGGAGGTGGATAAGCTCTAAAACTCCGAATTGGTGCTCGAATATCCGCAAAGCTACGAGTTTTTCAATCGACGTCCCTTTGGGTCCTAAAACGACCAACTTCGGTTTCATTTTCCGCCGTTCCGCCATGGCCGTTGTCATCCCTCGTGTAAATCTTTTTCCATAGGGGAGTGGGGTGGGGGGGGGGGTGTGGCAAGGGTAGAGGCAATTCCCAAAGAAACTCGCAACTTTGCCGCGTTCGACTTGCCCAGCCACCATCGACAATTTCCGCTAACGAAATCTCGAAAGGGAATACACGTCGATCGAGAAATAAGACCGAAACTGAACTTCCCACCTTTACCGTTCCACGTATCGTTCCGTGTCGTTCTATCTGTATCGAGGACCGTGAACGTGGACACGTGTTTAAATATTCGATAGCGTTCGTCCGGAAACCGGAACTTCTTTCAAACGTAACTCTATCTATTGTATTTTTCAAAAGACGCAAAGTCCGGGGACCCTGTAAATACATAATACCGCCGAGAAAAACGTAATACCGGTGGTAGTTTACCCGTTAAATAATGTATCTCTTCGCGTTCCCGTTCGAAGCACGCTGCCACGAAGAATATTTAGTTCGCAGCGTTTCGCTTCTCCTTTGGCGAGAAAGTTACGTGATCCTAGCGAGACTCGCTGCCCTTCCCTTTCTATCGCACACGTAATTCGAATCTCGCGAAAGAGTTTCATCGCGCAAATGGAAACGAAATTTGCTTTCGTTGCGAAGGGGGCGCGGGAGGTATGAGAATACGAAGAAGAAAGGCGAAAGAAATTGTCTTTCACCGCGCGCCAGCGAAAAAACCGTCTTGCTTTTCCAGTCGAATAGAAATATTATTATCGATTGTGATAATATCCTAGTAATAATTACTCTAGTACTCGAATACGTATTTGAGTCACCGAAGCGCTCGAGTATTCGAAGAGTGGCCTCGCTTTCAGCTCCGTGCGTATTCTCTTTCCACTTTGAATCGACCACATTTCGCTTCAGCTGCGTTCGCCGCTCCTTCCGTGGATTTTGTTCTCCAGAGGTTTTGTGTAGTTAAAAAGGCTAGGAGAAATGCCCACCCTTTCCACCTCCCTCTCGCTTTAATCACTTCCTGTCCTCTTTCATCCCCGCCCGCCCTCCGTTTCCATCCCTTTCAACGCGCTTTTTTATTACGGACGCGCCGCGTAAAAATCATCGCGAGCGGACAACGATAAGGATCTTAAGCGGAGATCGTCGAGCGCAACGGAGTGATCGAGCGACGCGAGTAAGGTTTAAAAAAAGTGACGGGAAAATTGGCGTTACCGTAGTCCGGATCCCATAAAAATGCAAATGAAACCGTAACTGGCCCGTCGCGATAAAAGTGTTGACTCGTGTACACGAAATAGAACGGTCGAAACAATTGTTCGCTGGCTCGAAAATTGGCAGAATGGTAGCCACGCGAGCGTACAACTTTTCACCGAGCACGGTACAGCGATCTACGATAAGTTCTCGAGTAAAAGTTTCACGCGTAAGCTCTGCACGGAATCGATAAACAGACAATGTACTCGGCACGCGTTCGCTCTCCACGCCTGCCTTCGTCTACCTCTTTTCTATTATTATTTCAACCGCAACTTCGCTGGTTTCTTTGGTTCGAGCACGCGCGCGTGGAAGCCGCGCGACAGCTACAAGTTTCTTCTTTGTGATCGACGTCGCAGTTTCTCTCGCGCCTTTATTCGCGGTTCGATTACTCGAATCCCCGCGCCTGCCCGCGATGCATTTCGACGGTGACGTTTCCGTTTCTACGAATTCCGAGTTCTCGCGCGTCTATACTTAAAAACGATACACGTAACAACGAAACTCTAGTCTAATTCCGTTTCGTTGATCACGCGAAAATTGCTTTTAAAGTTGAGGATGAAATAGCTGGTTTGATTAAATTCGTCGGAAAGCAGCGGTCGCGTACGAGAAAAGTTTCGTTAATAACCAGCAATAACGTAGACCGAATGAAACTTTGATCGAGGAATAGGTGCCAAGCATGCGTTGTATTCTCGTTGTTCGCTTCGTTCGCCGTTCGTACAAAAATAGTCGACGATTCGGTTGGGTACAAAGAACTAGAAAACTAACGACTACTCGACATCCACTACGCGATACTTGCACGCTTTCTAGGGATACCGTCGCGCGATTTTCGGTACGATCCAATTTAAAAATGGAATGTAGTCGGCTACGGGAGCGGATGCTTTAAACGCTCTTGTACTCTTCGGTATGGCGTAAGAGGATCGAGAAGTGAGCCTGAAACATCTAAATCTACTCGAATACGTACCTGCAACAAGGTGCATTTTCTTTTTAAATTGGACTCGACGATCATCTACGACGATTATCTACGGAATTTCGGTAGAATCGTGCAAACGGGAAGAAAATCGTTTCTGCGATGGGAGAGAGGAGAAGAAATTGTCGAAAATAGTCGCCTCGTGCCGCGTCGATGCGTGTATACCTACGTATGCGTGTACGCCGGCTGCATGATCTGTTACGGAGGAGTTGGCTCGAGGTCGCTCGCTTCGCTTATCCTTATCGTTCGAACGATTGATTTTCCACTATTCGCTTCGACGACTGGAGTGTTCGGGGCGACGACACGATCGTCCGATTTCGAACGATCGGTGAATCGTTTCGCCCCGACGGAGATTAGCATTACTCCCCGCCCAGTGATAACGCCTGCACGATTCTTGGGTCGGCCTTGCTACCCTCCCGGAACTCCTCGAGGGTCAGCTTGTCGTCGTGGTTTTTGTCCATTTGATCGAAGATCTTGTCCACCCTCTTCTGCGGCGTGTTCTCGTCTTCCGCGTGTGGCTGTTGACCCTGAAACACCCCATACCCGATGCGTTAAGCGAGTCTCTATATCGGTTTATGGTTCTCGGCGACGACCTTGCGATCTCGGCCAACCTGTCATTTAATTCAACGTTGAACGCGATATTCGCGATTAGTATTTATATTAGCTTTACTTAGGGGGTTAGTCGCAGTCAGGAAAATGGAAACGGACAGTTTCTTGTGTGTGTGTTTTTTTTTTTTAAGGTATTAAATAATAATCTTTATTAACGAAATTTCTAAGAATCAAGTGGCCACCCACGCCATCGCCTGGTATGACGAAATGAACTAACCTTTTTTTCAAACAAAAATTCTTTTATAGTTGTTTAAGACATACTTCGGAATATATCGGGTTGTCCGGAAAGTCCATGTCGATATAGAAATTGGCACGAACTTTCTGGACAACCTAATATTTACATTTCGTTAATAAAAATTATTATTTAATACCTTAAAAAAAAAAAACACACACACACACACAAGAAACTGTCCGTTTTCATTAACCTGCGACTAACCCCTTAAATAACATCTCTGCGAAGTTTGACTTTCAGCGAAGGGTCGGCGAAACTAATCTCTGGGAATTTACGTGAGAAGCAGGCGAATATGAGATTGGACTCGAACGAAGTTGAACCACGATCCCTGCGAGAAATTTTCTTCGCGGAAAGTATCAGTATGCAAAGGAGGTGCTTGCGTATTCGCCCGTGTTGACAATTTCGCAACTCGTAAGGAATTCAGGAAGTAGAAATGAAAACCGCTAGATAACATCGGTGCACGGTCTGTAGAGAGAATGAAATTCTATTCGCGGTGTATAAAATTTGTTGATACCAGCCTTGATTGGGTGCATCCACCTTAATAAAGATACAATCCTTGGCCTGAACCGCAACGACAATGAAAAATCAAAGCTTCGTAGTCAGCGGGTCTTCGGAGAGCAAAGCAACGCTATCGGTTAAAACGTCAAAGAGATTCGTACTGTCCATGAACTATCGATTTCAGTTTCACAGCGGAGGGCAAATATCGCCCCGAGCAAAAGAATAATTCCACCGAATCCTAGTACTCGTTATATCCGTACAAATATCGAGCTTAACACGCCTCGCATACACGATAATAAACATAAACGAAAAACCGATGGATTATTAAAGCTGAAAAATTTAATACACCCGCGCGTCCACTTTTCGCTACGCGCTCGAAAATACCGAGATATGAAGAAAAAAAAATATCGGGGTGGTGAAATTTTAACCCGTAACAACGCTTTCGCGCTGCGATATTTGCTAACATCCGGAAAAATGAAACCGACCCGAGCGGCACGACGCCATTAGCAACAACCGCGCCGCACGAAAACGCTTCCAATCTAACCGCAGTCCAGATTTCCCCTGTGCGTTTCTGAAAATCGCTACGGCTAACAAACTTGAAAGTCCGCGGAATTTTTGGATCGCGTTGAAAGACAAGCCTCGAAACCCGGAAATTTGTCTAGTTCGTCGTTTCGTATATTTAGAATTTCCATGAAATCGACGATGCGATGAGGATGAAACGGAGCGTCAAAGTTCGCGAGAGCTTTACGTAGGTACATAGGCTCGAAACGAATCGGTAATTTAGAACGGTTCAAACCGCTCGACAGCTTTTCTTCCTGTCGCGTTATCGTTTTTTTCGGTTCGTATAGCTTTCAGCCGAGAGCTTAACATTTATCGGCGCTTTAGCGCGCCTGAAATCAGGGTTAATTATCGTCGCGATTTTTGGCCCTGATATTCACGAAGGCGAACACGAAACCGTACGTATCGTCTGTTCTCATCTCGTTCTGTGAGCGTTGGACGCATTAAGCTGTACTTTTTAATCCTTAGACGCCCACGCGATCTTATACCATGCGAGATACGCGAGGTCTTACGCTGGGTGTCTTTAGCGAAGAATTAATATTAACGCGAGTATTCGATCATGGTTACGATCGCGCATAAATGAACGTAGCGTTTCCGATCGTCGAACATTTAATCTTAGCCGCGATATTTTCTTCTTCTTTTTCCCCTTTTTTTTTGCGATGTACTTTGTTCCGTATGTTTGCGTTATACGTGTTTCAGGAGAGAATAATCTTTAATCTCGCGTTTTGCGGTAGCTTGAGAAAGAAAAATTTGCATCGTTTGACGCAGTGGTCGCGTTAGCGTACGCTTCGGAATATTATGAAAGGTAAACGTAGCCGATACGCGTCCTATCTCGTTTAAGGCTTGAATTATAACGCGACACTGTGCTCGCTGGACGAGAGAAATCATTGGATAAAAGTCTTCCTTTGTCGTTGGTGTTCTGGTTTCGATGCAGCTTCGCTCCGCGTACACATCAAGACTCCGGAGGATTAACGAAGCGCGTTTTTTTTGAATGAAAATGTAAATTACACCGAGGACCGGCAAACCGTTACTTTCCCCTGAATTAATAGCCCACAATGCGCCCCCTCCTTTGCATTATGTTACCAGATGCGTATTGTTCATTTTTAACTAATACAGCGCATCGAAATTCACGACCTAGTTTAGCGAATCTGAACTCCGACATCGCGTATATCGCTGCTGAAAAAATGTAGAGCACGCTCCAATCTTTCGAATAAATTAACCATTTTTCATATAGTCGTAACTGTCTCGTTGAAAATATTATCTCGTGACGCATCATTTGGGTATCACCCGAGTACAATTTCGTACGCAAATTACAGAAATATTAATATTTCTGTAAATTCATCGCGAAGAGAAGCGCGACAACTTCTTCGCAGCGTATATTTAAGTCAGGAACTTTGCACGGTGTTTGAATATTCGGTCAAAGTAAAGAGTCCGTGATGGTTGCCTATAAAGTCGATAACCCTGATAAGCATAATAGCGACGATAGCGCGGCGCAAGTGTACATTTCATCTCTCAAAAGTAAACTTTTCTATTATCGAATAACGATTAAGGCTATCGACTTTACTTTATAAACTGGCTGCGCAAAAAGTCCGAGTTCCTCGCAAAGGGAAGTCAACGAGAACCGAATCGTTTACTCCAGATATCACCGATACCATTAAGATGTACCTGATGAAGTTGATTAACACATTCGATTCTATTCGCGGTATAATAGTTATGAAACGACTCCGTTCGCTGGTGCTACCGGTCAAATTTTTTCAAATTGTCACAATGTAAAGTTTGACCTAATTTTCCACTCGTCAAACCTACGTAATAAATTTTGATTTTGCATCAGGGAGATCGAAAATTTAACGCTCTTTCGAATGGTGTACTGATTTTTAAGTTTGCACGGTAATTTAACGGAGTTATGGCCGTTTAAAGAATGTCGAGTCGAAAGCACAGAAAAAAAAATTAAAAGTGAAAATACTCGAGAACAAGGCGACACAAAGAAAATGTCTAAGAGTAATTTTTTGTTGGAAATTTGTTGTAGAATTGACAGCCTGCGGACTTATACGTAGACACCCTGCACGTATCGAAATAAATAAATAAATAAATAAGAACTTTGCAGGGTTGGTCGCGAATATCGCAAATATGCCGTAATTACGTTTCGAGATAATTATTTTCGAGTTAATACGCGGTCGTCGGCATAAACGATTTCCTTGATCGACGTAATCTCTGACCTAATCCAGATCTGGTTAGGCTTCTCCCGCTTTTCGACGCCAATGCGAACCCGACATGATTGATAACGCCGAGTTTCTCGTAGCGTCGATGTTCCGCGAGGAAATTCGAGCATCGATCACGCTAAGATTTTCCACGGGTTTCCCGAGCGATCCGCGTTAGCGAGAGCAGCGAGCATTTAGTTCGTACGCGACACGGAAACCTGCTCGGGAATAGCGATTGTTTTCTGGAATTCCTTCGCGAGATTTCCCGTGACTATTTAACAAAGGAACAAAATTCCATTTATATTTCTCGATTCTACCCTATATTACACGCGCTCTTATATATAAACTCGTACGTATAAATTCGTGCGCGAAAAAACTGTTCGTACCGATAAAACGTGCGCACACCTGTGACACCCTGCATACAAATCGATAACGTATAAAGTACCATTTTCTTGGTTGCATGGACGACACGGACCATTCTGCATACTCTGAATGTTACGTTTCAGTTGCCATCGGTTACATCGCGGTCGTGTTCGCGAAACAGTTTCGACGAGCAATCGATTCCCGTGAAACGAAACGAAGACCCGTTCGACTTCGTCTGCCACGACATATTTATTACCGCGACGTTCCTCTTTTTTTCTCAGGACCATCGAGCCAAAGAGTAATTGTCTCGTCTTTTCTCCTCTATCTTGCCGCCTCGGCTGCACTCCATTCCGCTCGACCAGCTTCGCCAAAGGTTGTCCTCTTGCATCGGATAATTGATTCGCAAACTCTTCTCGATTCACCGCCGATTCTTTTATTCTCCGGCGTTGTCCGTCCTCGGGATCGAGCCAAGCGACGCTTCTCCCGCCGCGAGATCCAAATCGAGGACGAAAATGGAAACAGTTTCTTCGGAGGAACTCGATGCGACTCATTTTTCGCAAGGACTCGTGAGCAAGGAGCTTCCTTATTTATTTTGAAAAATTGTGCGTTACTTCCTTGTTCGAAATTATCCGCGTACGATTACGAAGCCCCGTCGTCGTCGATGTTCTCGCGGTTGATTAAACGAGGAGTACTCGGAAATTGCACGACGAAAGAAGTTGCTTTTCTTCGGGGAGAGCAACGGTCAATAACTAGGGAACAGGGGATTCCCAACACGCGTACATTGCCGGAGCAAAACGGTGCCGGATACTGCGAAGCTCCCTCGCAACCTTAAAAACGATGTACTCACCACCATCTCGTATATCGCCTCGACGATATTGTACATCTCCGCCCTCGTGATGAAGCCGTCGTTGTCCACGTCGTAGAGCCGAAATGCCCCTGGAAACGAGAACAAAACCGACTCCTCTATTGCTCTGTTCCTTTCAAACGTACGCTTCGTCTACTTCGTTGCGTTTCAACCGGTGTCTTTCGCCTTTCTACGCGATGGTCCGCATTTTATACGAATTAGACGAAAAGAAAATAAGTAAGAAAGCGAGTACGACTCGAGAATTGAATCGAAGTAGTACAGCGAGAGCGGAGGTACGCTCTGTATCGAGAAGATGCTTATAAAGTAACACCTGTTTCTCGCGTTTTAAAAACCACTCTAGCCAGGATAAGTAGGTTCTACTTACAATGGAGTTTCTCGTCCAAGTTGCCGCGCGACGTCACCGATAGCGCCCTTATGAACTCCTCGAATTCTATCGTGCCGTCCTGCGAGACAAGAATCGTTGGGTTCAGCTTACACTATCGACGGAAACGCGTGTTTTTAACCGACTTTGAAAAGGAGGAGGTTACTCGATTCGACATGTATATTTTATTTTTTTCCTATGTATGGTCAACGCGCGCGTGTACCAATTTATCGTAGAAATACAAGGTGGTCCACGCAATTGTTTCGAGTCAAGTCAAGTTGAGCATCGTCTTCAATAAAGACAGTTTTTGAAAATATCTCGAGAACTAATACTTTCCTTGACGTGGTACCCTAATCATTTTTTACGTAGAGCGAAGAGAAGACACGATCTGTGTAAAAAAAAAATATGCATTTCTATTTAAAGAATTGTTAATTGCACGATGCACTGCTGCATCTAAGAAAAAATTTAAAGGCCTACGGATGTAGTGCTATTCGAACCATTTATCTTTCTCCTTTGGCATTTTTTCGTAAATGCAATAACAACGACGTTATGACTTGAAACAATTACGTGGACCGCCCTGTATATTTACTCGATGTTCGGTTCGCGTCCGAACTCTGCGAACGCATCTAAAAATCGCGAGACTTACGCTGTTCTCGTCGAAGACCCTGAAGACGAGCGAGGCGAACTTTGATGGATCACCTTGTGGAAAGAACTGCTTGTAGATCTTTATGAAACCCTGAAATCACGCAATAGGCACATCTTCGATACGCATCTTCGGATTCCGTCTACGCGTGTCCACAGATCTTTGTTCAACACTTTCGCTGCGGATGACGCACGTGCGCGTCCTTTGCTTTTTTAGTCGGTTTAGTCGTATCGAGAGTCGAAATTTTAAACAGTCGGTACGATCCAAGCATTCATGTTGGTCCCTTCGTCGAAAGGAAGGACACCATTGACCATTGTGAAGCAATAGTATTCAAAAATCACCATAAAAAATAAATAAATTTCGAAAATATACGATTGTTTTTATTATTTTTCAGTTTTCATTTCTCTCGTTCGGCAATCATGTTACAAATAAAATATGTTACCACGAATATATGTTTTTCAAAATAATAATATCAGAAAATTTGTAAGAAATTTTGTCATTAAAAAAAAAATATCGTAATTGCAGCTCCCAGGGAACGGCTACTTATTTTCGTCCGCAGCGAAAGTGTTAATCAACACGCACGGTCGAAATCAGGTCGTACCTGTTCCGTCAGCTGGCCGTCGGGGCAGTCCTTCAGGAATCCTTTGTGCCTAAACAAACAATCGGTCAACGTTTCATCGAACTTACATTTACTCCCAGGATGAAAATGATTAAGCGTTAAAGCTCGCGCGTTAAATTCTTTGGTTCCTAGAACTCACCATTGCCGAATCTCCTTCTCGGTAACTGAAACAGAAACGAGAGGGAAATGCCTTTAATCGAACGCATAGCGCGAGTGACAGAAGCTGGGAAAAAATGTTCGTCGAACGGGGGAGGAAAAGATCGCGACGTTCAGGTTGCTCGCGTCACGCGCGGTGATTTGTCGCTCGATGGATCGTTCCTCGATAAATTCGGGTAACGTTCTTCGACTACTCGATCTATCGAAGCCGGCGTATTCTTTCCCGTCAACCGGTCGAATCACTTAAACGTCGCACAATGTGAAAATTGAATTTCACCTACAGAAATTTACATAGTTGTTCCGAATTTCGTGTTGTACTTTGCACCACACCGTTGGTGTACGTATCCTGGACCGTTCGATTACCTTACAAAGCCCGGAAATCCTGGAAATACGGCAACTTCCGGTCTTTAACGGGTCCGAAAATTTCCCGCAATGCAGACCATCGTTCCAGCGATAAATTCAATTTATACGAAAGCGGTAGGGCAGCCTGCAGACGATCGATACAGCTGATTGTCAGCGAGAAAAATACTCGACGGACAACAAAAGTTCCTTCTACTCTGGGCACATTTCGCCGATCCGATTGCGCGATATATCCTTCGCGATTTCAACAGAACGTACCGACCGGGTTGAGCCGAACGCGTGGCCCGCTTTTTTTTTCGTTTTTAGAGCGTCGAAAAAAATATAACCGCGCTCCAGATTCTGAAAAAAACCGAACGATCATTACTGGCTGCGCGTCAAAGCGATATACCGCTTCTTCTATAGAATTCTGTTTCTGAGCGAATGAAAAATTAAATACACGCGAGATACGTACGTACTACGTACCAAGTTCCATACTATAGCGTTACGCAACAATGTTGCCGGCACGTTTATAAGGGTGAAAACCGTATAGAAACCAACCTCTCCGGCGTGGGAGATAATATTATAAAGGGACGTTTCTTGTGTCTATAAAAAGTTCAATCTCCAGAGAAAGAGTACGTTGGCCTGACGCGACGTACAAAAGTTGACGGTTTCTTTAGTAGCCATCCGAGTCTCCTTTTGACAGACCGCGCATACATAATCTTTCTGGCTCGTCACTTCGGCCGCGCTCGACTTTTACGGCCTTCGATAAATTTGCGCGTGGTTTTCGAGCGAGCACGCAGACACTGAGACAAGGCCGCTTCGTTTTTATTTTCCTGGCTCTTATTAAACGAAGAGAAGCGGGTATGCACAGCGTTCGGTCGAAATTTAACTTTCTGCATTGCTTCGCGTTTCGCGGTGCTCCGATTGCGAGGCTTATCTTGCGGACACGGTGGTCGTTAGATGTCGGGAGTCGATGCCGTTTAAATTTTGGAAAAGAAAAATAGAATGAAATGGCACTCGAAAAAGATGCGGTGCACTAATTGGCTCGACAAAAAGATGGAAACGCTGTCGTAAGCGCTGATCCTCGTTAAAGTTTTTTATTCGTACAGCGCATGTCTTTGTCCACGAAAAACCCAATTACAACTATCGCGTAATCTTCCAAGTCTCGAAACCAATTCATTAAATTATTAGGTTGTCCCGAATGTTTCTTTCGCGAGTTGCACTCAATTATTTGATGTGGTCGTGTCGATATAAATAGACAATCTAATTTCATAGATGTTCGTGTTGCGCAGTAATGGAGCAAAATGAATCGTTCACAATTCAATAATGTAACACAAAGCACAAACTATTGCGCATGTATTACTTATTAATAAAGCGAAAGAAACTTTTGGGACAAACCAATAAATTGTTGTTTAGACTCCTGATATTTTAATCACAAATATGTGTTACACGTGTTCAAATTAACATCAGCTTTTTTTCGTAGAGCTTTCGGAAAGACCCGTTCTTTTTCAGGCACGCTTTTATTTTTCTTCGGTTCCCTTTTCCTTTTATTCCGTACTTCGTCGAATCCCGTTACAATTCAAATGGGCACTCGATAAAGCGAATCCGAAGAGAATTATACTTCGGCTGCGTCCGCAATTCTATTTCGCTATCGTCTCTCGTGCTCCGTAGAACCCATGGAATTTTATTCATCGGTTTGTCCCGTTTGTAACTCGAGAAACACCCATTCAATTTTTCCGAATATCTACCGCGTCACGGAGCACGAGCGCACCGACCATAAAAGACATTCCGTTTTCTTTGATATCGCTGAATAATCTTAGAACACAATTTCGACGATTCCTAACGATCAGAGGTAGCGAATTACTAATTCGAAGAACGTCTCCGCAGAGAAAGACGTCGGGCGCCGTAAATTACGACGATTCGGATGTAATTCCGCCGACTCTTTCTGTCTCTCCATCTTCAGCATCTGGTAACGACGACAATTTACGCGCGGACGAACGTAAACAAGAAATTTGCAGAAATTTGCAGAAACGCGTCCGCGATACGTACAGTTCTCGCGATTTCTCTTTGGTATGTACGCGACAACGTCTTGAACGTACAATTTCCTCGGGACGACCCACCCGCGAATATCCCACCGAGAACGAAAGCATCCGCAACCGTCTGTCGCGGTGCATTTCCATGAAATTCGCGAACTTTCGGAACGTGGACGCAGTTCCTTCTACTCGCTAAACTATTTTGCCTTGAATTACGGTGAATCGGCGAAGGAATTGGAAAATGACGCTTATCCAGCCGCGAGGATCGTCGTTGCGGTAATGGTAATCGGTCTTTCCTAATCGGACATCAATCTTCGTTGTTCCGAGCCGAGCCACGGCCATCGTCAACGGGTTTGTTCAAAGTTCAAAATTGTCGTGAATTATTTACTCTTAGAGGTACAAAGCTTTGCGATATTGCGAAGAGAAGCCAAGTGCAAAGTGGGAAGACGTCCAACGAGATTCGCAGCTGGATCGAAGTTGGAAACATGGGAACTTTGAAGACTGTCCGAAGCGAATGGAAAGATCCGTATAAAGAGACAAGGACGATTCTTCGTCGCTCGAAGTTGGACCTTGGATTTGTTTCGAAAACTGGGCGGACCAAATGTCTTGCCTTGCCTGCTTTCGCGAAGGGTCTTATCGGCAAATAGGATATGGACTCAAGGATGCGTCGAAAGTGGAACGAGTTCGAAGTTACCGGCGGATATCGAATGCTGTTTAGGCCAACGGTTCTCGATCGTGTATCCTAGAGGATAGTTTAAAAGACTGAAATTCCCGAAGGATTCTTATTTTCTAGCTGACAAAAAAAAAAAACAGCTACTCCATCGAGGATTACTGTTTAAGGACATTGTTCCCTCGGGATTCGAGATACCAACCGTAGGAGGTTCTCTGAAACGCTTCGAAGGTCCTATCGATCATCTCGACGAGCTCCGACGAGTACCAAACGCTTGATATCTATACCCGAACCAACGCGAGACGTCCTGCCCTTCCATGATCTTTTTTGCACCGCCTGCAATCCTTTCTAATTAAATTTCTTTTCGTGAAAATCACGTAGTTGTATCGGGCAGGGCAGTCTCGAGCGTTAAGAAGACTATTTTGCGAAAAGCTTTTAAGCTGGGGAGCTCGTTACGAAAGAAAACTTGCCGTGCTGGTTCGTTCGTTGTCGGCTATTAACTGTTGCGTACGTACAGGTCGACACCAAATTGTTAATAAAACGCTCAACAGACCCTAAAATGGCTTTCGAACACGTAAAGGAGTTAAAGGCTCTAGTTAAAGGTCGTTCGAGTTTTTAATAGCGCCGTTCTAAGCGCTTAGCTCCGTAACGCGCGATGGAACGAGGGGAAAGTAGATTACGCTCGACATAAATCATATTGCATCGCAGTGTGCGACTGGATACGTTAAAGAAATGCTCTTTCGATTGCTGTTTTAATATTTTACGACGTTCGCGGTGCAGTTATTTAAAAATCCATCCCTCCTTTGCCCCTATCGTTTCAGGATTTCTTTTGATTCGAATCGAAAAAGAGAAAACGGTTGGTCTCGGGTTTGCGTGCATCTTACAACGCGTGCATTGAATAAAAAGGTGATCGTTCCGGTGAAAAGGACAAAACAATGAGTCGACGTCGTAGAGGGAAACGTTCGGCGAGAGGAACGCGCGTCGTGGATCAGGGCAACGAAGAGTCTATATCGCCGGGTAACGATAATTTCAGCCACGTGGCCAGCACTTTATTGCCCGATGTACGGCACGCTAGCGTTGGCAAATGGCTGTGCAACCGAACGAATAATTTATATCTCCACGTATACGGACAGCTGGCAGTGTCGGGAAACTTTGGAGTAGGTTTTCGCGTCGCGGTTTACGATTTGCGTTCGTTCGCTAAACACTCGTCGGGTAACCTCGCGTGTCGCGTGACTGGCTCCGCTCAAAAATTTTCTCCGCCCTCGACCGATGTCGATTCAGCGGAAAACCATTGGATTCCAACGGAAGCCAGTCACTTATATGCGACGCATATATGCAACGAAGATACGAAAAGTATGAAATATGTTCGCGAGGATCGTATCGATACGAAAATTTTATGAATACAATGTTAATGTATAACCAGTGAGAGTAAACAGTACAGGACATTAATAATCACTGTTAGAATGGAATCACCCATATATAAAAATGCAAAAATGCAAATAGATAAAAATCGTGGTATATGCCGACCTAGAGAGTTAGACTCTGTGACATGAACCCCTTGGTCCTAGCTAGGTGTCCACGTTGTTTCGAAAGGTCCTCTTTAGTCTGGACCACGCAGATCCACCGAGATTTCCATTCGGTTTAATTGCACAACGTTACGTCGGAACAGCGCGCTTTAATATATGTACACGCGGGACGCCGTAATGACATTGCAGCGCGTAAATTGAATTTGAGAAACTGCTGAACTCGCCGGAGTCATGTTCGCGCGGAGCGTGTCCGTGCAGGGTAAGCCGTTCGTGGCATGCCACGACGATAAGGTGCATACAAATATTTGTTGACGAATTGAAATAGTTTCGAACTAGCCAACGACGAGGAAAGTATTCGCGTACCGCATTCGTCGGTGCGTCGAACTTGCGGATCGTAAAACCCGATTATTTTATTTATGCTGCCTTAAGCGGTCCGTATA